AGAAATTAAATCACAGCGACTAAGATGGGCAGGCCACGACGACAGACTGCATCATTCCATTTAACCCTAGGTTGATGGAAGACCGAACAAATTGGAAAAAAGTTGTACAGTCAGCCAAGACCCACCCAGGTTTGTAACGCTACGTGATGATGATAATACTAAAATCGAGTATTTCCTCTTTGAGCTCGAATAACTACTCTCATCCTTTTTAGCATAGACTGGATCAAAGCAGAAATCTCGTTTTGCGGTATTTGTTCCCACTCGTTTATTAGTGCCTGTTATAACGCTACCAAAGACCACAAACGCTACAAAGACTGCGAACCAAAGTATGTAATTCCTGTATCCTACCTGTGCTCAAATGGAGCTCAAACCTGGACATTCACTAAAATAAACATGGAGAAGATCAGAAAAACTCAGAGAGCTATGGAATAACAGATGCTGGGTATCTCACTTAAAGACCATAAAACCAATGAAGACATCCGTAATAGAACAAAAGTAAAAGATGCTGTCGAACAGGCAGCTGACCTAAAATGGAAATGGGCTGGACATAACGAACATCTTACGGATGGCCGATGGAATAAAGAAATCGGGAATTGGCGGCCATATGAAGCCAAAAGACCACGAGGAAGACCGCAAATGCGATGGAGCGACGATATTAAAAGAACTGCAGAGACAATGTGGAAACGTCTTAAACAACAGAGATGAATGGCGAGAATTAGGAGAGGCCTATATTCGGCAATCCGAATAGAGAAAAGGGCTTAAAAAAAAAATAACGCTAATAATATAGTTGCCTGGTCATAATGTTGCCTAACTACCGTTTCCAAGTTATCTGACAAATAATCTATCCGGTTAAGGTATGGACTCCTAGGAGGCCAGGCTAGTAACTGAATACCAACATCTGTAAAGTATTACATTGTTATCCTGGCTATGTGCAGCCCAGTATTATCTTGCATTTGGAGAAAATTTCCATCTACAAACTGCTTATAAGGTAACACATATTCTTCTAGACATTAAGTAATATACCTATCAGCATTAAGGCCACCTGTCCCTAACATAACAAGACCTGTATGTGCTTCTAAAGAAATGCCCCCCGTATCATTATACCTCCACCTCCAAACTTGACTCTAGAAGTTAAGCAAACTTGTAAACATCTTGTAAAACTACATTCGTCTGTAAACATATTGTTTCTCCAGTCCTCCATATCCCAAAATGCATGAGCACGACAGATTTCAAGTGTCCAATAAAGGGTCTTTAGCTGGTACATAGGATAATAATTTTTATTAGCTTGATCTTCGATGTATGGTATCAGGTGAAACTATGGTACCATGCACATCTTCGACTCTCCTAGTCAAAGCTGTAGCAGGAACTGTCCGCTCTCGAAGCACTTGAAGTCTAAGAAACCGATCTTTGTGGGCAAATGAGGGGTCCAACAGAAAAATAACTTCGTAACACCTAGTTCTTTATGTAGATGCCTCTATCTCCCGTTATGTTACACGGCGGTCATCCTTAATTAGCTAACGAACCGCATCAATATTTTGCTGTGTGACTGCCGTTTTGGAGCAACCAAGTTGAAATTCGCAATACCAGCGGGAAATAGTTGACTGGTTGGATGCTTCATTCTCAAATGCAGAAATTATTTCAGCGAGACATTGCTGTTGGAGTAATCCTTTCCGAAAATTGTAAAAAATTATTGCTCGATAATGTTCTCGGCTGAGATCCATTTTTCGACCGACTTGCTAATTTTAAAAATTCACTGTATCTACACCACTTGTTGTATTGCAATGAAACTCGCGATTTATGTTAATAAAAGATTGAGGTTACATTTGAGTCGGAAGGTTTTATTCTTTATTGGTGGCGTTCTTTAAGCGGCTCTATGCAAAACTTAAAAGACAAACCTCGTAGTAAATTTCACAGTAATTGAAGAGCTGATTTTTTCTAAATTAGGAATTAAATTATTCAGCGACAAAAAACTAGAGAAAGAAGTACACCAAATAAGGAATAAAGCGAGCTGAATATCTGATATAATTTTGAGAACTCAGTTCGTATCAACGGAAGTTCTGACCAACATATATAAAGGTTTGGTTAGGCACTGCTGAAATCCGAGCTGATAATTTTGAAGAAAGCGCAGTACTTCGTAAGAAGCTGAAAGTACTTTGTAGAATATCAAGTAAAACATCTACTATCTTACTAATAAAACATTCGTATTCTAAGGTTATTATTTATACCTAAAATAGTTATCCTAAGTATAAGGTAAATATAATACTAAAATAATTTGTTACAAATAAACTTGGCATATGTTAGTTATAAGTATTCCCACTTTATTCCGAAATAATAGTTTGGCAATGTCGCAATCTTTTGCACAAATACATAGAACAACGACATATTGAGTGAAATATGTCAATTTTGATTTTTCTTTGAAACTGACAATGACAACTGACACCATATATATCTTTATTTGTTATCTTATATGTTGAGTTTGAGTATTTTAAAATTGCAAAAAACCTTACACTATCTTTAGAAAACCGATATTTTATTCTAAATTCTCTATGAGTGTATTTTGAAAATGGATTTATTCGTTCTTTAAAAGTTTTTCTTTTTCGTGTATTTTCCATCATGTTAATTAAATTATCAACTTCCTTGACAGCCGCAACACATCTTAAACACATTTTTTTATTATATAGCTACTCCCAAAACAATACAAAAAATAATATATTCTTGTTACTGATGACTTTGACATTCATAAAATAGGTTATACCGTTATACCAGACTTAAACTATTCTGAGTATAAGTTTTATACTTGGTTTATTAGTTGTGCTGCTAGACACAGAGTACGGAAAGGCCCTCCTACTTTATTATCTCTCTTATGTGCTTGTTATTTTGCTTCGGAGAATGATTAAACAGTCATGTCCTTTATTTGTTCAGACCATCGTACTGGAGATTTTACCCACTACGTTACCTTCAGCTATCATTCGCTCCATGCCTTCTCTTCTTCTAGTTATATGTCCAAAATATCTCAGTATATTTTGGTTGATAGTTATGATGAGTCTAGTTTTTCAAGAATTGAGTTATTTGTACAATGGGCGGTCCATGGTATGCGCAACATTCTACGGTAGAACGACATTTCAAATTCCATTACACGCTTTGAATCGGTTTTTTTTATTGTTCAAGTTTCTAAAGCATAGTCAAATCTAAAAATAGGAAATATCAATTACCGATTTCCGAAGTGGAAATTGAAACATCAATAAACGTATTTTAACCTTTAATTGTGGCTTCTTCCCATTTAAACAGTAATTACTTTAAAATGCCACAAGAAAATAGCTTCAGGAAATATCAATGCTCGAACAAGGCGTAATTTTGTGTTTTTTGTGATCTTGAGTATTCTTCCAAAATTTTGTATGTTTTGTTGTTGCCGATGTGGCAACACTTCCCATAATAGAATAGGGGATATTATGCATCCCTGTCGAACTCCACATTTTAATTTGAAGTTTTTAGAAACCACCTTCTTAACTCTTACATTAGCAGTATTATTTACATAGTTTTTGTAATAAATAGACTAGATGTTTTGGCGTACCCATTTCTCTAAGTATATGCCACATTTTATCCCATTTTACGGTATCGAAGGCCTTGGAATAGTCAACAAAGCATAAATATGTTTCTATGTTAAACTCTCGAGATTTTTCGATAATTTGACGAATATTAAGAATATGTTCTCTTGTCCCTCTACCTGGGACGAATCCGCATTGTTCTTGGTCAATTTGTGGTAAGAGAATTGATTTTAGTCTTTTATTGATGATGGTTAGAAGTACTTTGCTCGACTGTGATATCAATGCTACAGTCATGTGGCCACTTTCCGGTATTCCGGATCTCATTCCAAATTCTAAGCATTACTACCGTCTCTAATTCTCCCATTTGTTTGAGTGTTTCGGTTGGTATTCCATTTTCTCCTGCTTTTCTGAGTTTTAGCTTTTTAATTGCTGCCTCAATTTCTTATTTCAATATTTGAGGTTCTTTTTCATAACTTCTTTTCTCTGTATTATTGTCTCAGTCGTTGTTAGAAAATAGTATTTCGCAATATTGTTTCCACACCTCTGCGATACCATCTGGGTTTGTTATGGTATTTCCACTACGGAAAGGCACATACACTTCATCTAATTTATATAACGATGTATGTCATCGGCGTCATAGCCTGTGACGTCACATGATACCAACACAAAATATCTAGGGTGTAGGTGTGTTCTTTTTTAGAATCACTTTACGGAGTATACTGGCATTACAGCCACTAGACATATTTTATTATATACGCGTAGAAATAATATTTAAAAATTTCTATTAATGTTAACTTAAAGAAATACACAATAATATGTTTCATTTAATTTGTATAAATGCATTATAAAGCGTTTTTATCAAGAACATTTGTTCGGAACACACTGTAACTGTAATCGAACGAAGGTAAAATTTTGGCATAAATTGGTAACACTTATTTGACAGTTGCGGTGTTGACACTTTTTGTACTTCATTATTTTGAATTTTAAAGTGAATATCTCTTGTTTTATATTTTTAACTATTTAATAAAATTTGTTTTTTTTAGAACAAAATTAGTGTGTTTTATTTCAAAAATGACACGTAAGAATTTAAATAGTCCTTGTAAATAGATGGTAATACTTTTGCAATAATTATATAATCTATTTGGTTTGAAATGGAGTCAGAATTTTTTTATACTTTGGCAACTATGTCAACTTTGATCTCTGACGTAGATAATGACGTAAGTCGTTATCTAAATTAGATGAAGTATATGTAAAATTGAAGGAATAAACAGTTAGATCAAAAACAGAAAAGACTCACCAACTGGAAGGAGGTTAACGGGAGATCCTAGAAACCGATGATCAGAAATCTCTGAAACCGAAGAATTACCCGTGGGTAGAATAAACCTGTATACATATATAGAGAACCGTAAAAACTAGAAAATTCAGATTAAAATTAATTACTTATATTTTTTACAGATCTGGCTCTATTACCGAAGATGGGGTAACAACAAGATTCCGGGAGGAATCTCGGGAACCCAGCCTCAAACGTGATTCCATTTCCCGGGATTCGGGAATAAGTTCGATCAGAGAAAATTCGATTTCCGATTATCCACGAAGAGAGAGTTCCTTAACTCGAAGTGACCGATTGTCGCACGTCAACGTCATCGATTCTGTGGCCGAACTAAGAAATAAGTACTCACCAGCCAATTACGTGCCTGCTTGCATGAGAAAAAATGAAAATTTATCAAGGTCTAAGTCTAACAATGATATAGGTGAGTACAATTGCGACTCGTTTAAGCAAATACTGAAATTTACTATTCATGAAACAGTTAATAATCAGTAACGATGAAAACTGAACTAATTTGTAGTAATTTATTTGCTTTTTTAATTTTTGCTAGGGTTATAATTGGTTTTATCTTTTATTATGCCGATATTTATGTTTTAAATTCATTCTGGGTACCCTTATATTCTCTACAAATAATTTATGAGTAGTAAAGCTGTTTTAATTTCCAACAAATAACTATTGTACGCAACATTCGATAAAATAAGATATTTCCATAAAATATTTACCCACCAGCTATATTTAATAAACTGCGGGCCAAAGTTTCATCGATTGGAAAGCAAACTTTAGATAGATTCTCAGTTCGAAACTTTCAAAGCGGATCGTTACGGGATTATGTTCTGTATAAATAAGTAAAACAATAATTACTGTATTATGTCATTGGTGTTCTGAAATTATAGTTCCAATAATATATCAATATAATATAACTTCTACGACTATATTCGAATAGTTTTGTTTGGTGATTTGTCACATTTGTATCATTCTCTTTACCGTTATACCTACCAGTTTCCTTGTCGCATTTCTCCATAAACTTCACAGACATGTCTTGTGTAAGCGTCCTCCACCAAGTCTTCTTTGATATTATTGTCCTATACACACTTTCCTACTATTAGAGCCACAAGTAGACTACTCTATTACAATACCTCATACTTACGCTACCTCAACTGATGCGAACTCGGAGTTATGAGGTTTAAATCGCGTCTGGAAAAAACTGTGTTCTTTCTTTTTCATCACTGAAACCCATGTGGATTCGACGCCAGACCCTGATGAAATTGGTACTTTTTAATCTCTACACTCATAAAACTAAGCAGCTCCATCATATGCTTTCGTTGTGCTTCTTTATATTTAAAACTACCGAACATTAGAGCGTTTCATCATAGCTCATCGTAGGATAGTTTTATAAAATATGTCTTTCCGTTTCCATTTCACCCACTTTCGTGATTGTATTAAACAAACATCTTTGTCATATTGTTCCTGTCTCTACTAATGCGTTTCAGATTTCTTCAGGGATATCATCTGGTCTAACTACTTTACCTTTCTTAATTTTTTGTAAGGTTGAGAAACTTCTTCGTTTGTTATTTTGTAGAACAATTGCTGTTACTTTTTCTATTAATTTGACTGGTTTTCTGCCAAATTCTTCATTTATAAACTGTCGAAATATTTCTTTCCATAGCTCTTTTGTAGGCATTTTTCTATGTACTCGCAATTTATTATTTTCCTCTTCGACATGTCTAATCTGATTAAAATGTTCTGCTTTCTTTACTCTATGTTTGACTATTTCCTCTATCTTCCTCTCACTCCCTCCATCCATCCTTTGACCCACAGCCCAATTCGAGTCTTCGCCTGCCTCAACAAACCTCTCGATTCGTTACAGTGTGTAGCCATTCTCCTCCACGATCGACTGTCCAGGAGATTTCAAGGAGATCCACATCATCCTGCCATCGCTTTCTCAGTCTTCCCATAGGACTCTTTTCCTACATTCTTGCATTCAACAGTTTCTGTTATAACCATCGAACGACTCATCAGAAACGGTGAATGCCAATGGGCAACATTATAACTACCTCCAAAAGTTGAGAGCCGATATAGAACAATAAAACTCACAACTTTGAAATCGTAGGCTTCCACGGCCAGAGTCAGAATTATAGTTTATTCGTCTTCCGGGTTTGGACCGTGTCATTTGTGAGTGGCCCAAAAGTGGGTTCATCTCGACGTTTCGCTACAATTGTATGTAGCTTCTTCAGGAGAACAAAGAAAAAGAAAACAAAAGACAGGAAGATGGGTAGTTAGCAACGGTAACTCAGTTACTCAACGCAACCAGAGGCGAATACTAACTACCAAGATGGGCATTTGGTCACAGTAACTCAACTACTTAACGCAGCCAGAGGTGAAAACCAAATTCCAGGACAGGGATTCACGTCCAACAGCTCAGAACACTAACGCGTCGAGAGGCGGGGAGTGAACGGTTTCACTTTTCATAGAAGCTTTTTTTAATGTCAGCAACTCTGTTTGATTAGGTGAATTTCGATAGCATTAGCACGCGGTCTTTTGAGAATATCGACTGCCTTGAAATAGTTTGAGAGAAAGAAGTTTTATAAAAATACTTAAATGGTTCATCCTTTTTCACTCTTACAACTCTAAGATCATTAATAAGTATCTGTTCTCCTTCTGCATCGATATTGAAATTTGGTCCTAGGTGATTCATCAACTGTTTGATGTTCATGAAATCTTCATACATTAACTCTTTGACTCGGTATGGCGCCACTTTTTTCTTTTCATTTCTTATTGTTTAAATAAACTGGTCTGGTACATAAATTGGTCCTGATTTTAGAGAACGTGTAACCTAAAAATGACATTTTTCAGTTGATAACTGATCCGTCTATGGATATTATCCATTTCATACCTGTTTTTCAATAGAATGTGTGGAGTCTCTCTCGTTTTGAGTGTGGCCAACTATAAGGAACTTATGTGTAATTTCTCTAATCTGAAATTTCTGTACTGCATAAATGAGTGTTGCTATCAAAAATCTGAAATAAAGAAGAAGAAACATTGAGAAAATTCCATTGAATTAAATGTCTGATTCTTACCTATTTTTTTGTTGTGCTGCTCAATTGTCGCTATACAACACTATTTCCAAATTTTGAGAATTGATAGTTTTGAACTTATGCTCTAGATACATTAATAGACATGAAGCCACTTCGGTCACTCCTTTTCCGCATTGGCTTTTATGCCATACAAAGCACCATGTATTATCCGCTATCAATTCAGTGATAATTAAGTTAATGGTATTTAGTTTTGATCTATCTCTACCTTTTGGCAGGTGGAACACCGCTTGCATATCAAAACATGCGACTAAAAAGTTCTCGCTACACTTTTTTTTTTCGCTTTCCTTTTCAGCTCTAGACAATATTTTTTCTTCTTGATGTTTTTGATATTCACGCTCGAGATTCATTTTTTCAGCTTCGCTGGCGTTATTGAATAAGAAGCAAAGGTTGCATTGATCATTTTTCGGGACAAAGCAGGATATATTAAATTATGTGTTGAAAATGTCAGAATACATAATTATGGTAGTTTCCAAAAGGTTTATTGACTTCCTTACATTGTTTAACATAATCCATATGTAAATCTGCAACAATTTACCGCCTTTGATAAAATCTCTAGTAGTCTCTGCTCTTTAGTAGTGGCTTTCAATTTTTTTCGGAAGTGACTAAATATGTTCTCGGATGTCATTTTTTATATTGGAATCTACTTGACGATGTTTACTATGCTTTCCTCTTCTGTCTTCACTTACTGATCCGGCTGAAGTGCGCTTTTTTATTACTCTATCAATGGTTTATCATTTATATTTAAAGTTTTTTTAAAAAATAGTTTACATACTCGGATTTTCTTTTGATTCCCTTGGACATAAAATGCATTATTTAGTCGCCTCTTGTTAGAATTTTGGTACCTGGAGTTTGGTTGTATAGTTTCCATATTTTGATTTATAAATTCTCTTTTTTTTTGTTAATATCACTTAAACTATAAAACTCATTAAACATATGCACTCTCTCATCTTGTTCGATTTTCTTGATACATTTGAATCTGCATTTATCAGTGCATGCAGCCTATACGTTTCTCAATGGTATAACCTTTTTGGAGTTTGAGCATGACATATACTCTTTACCCATGTTCCGCAACATCTTAGTTTTTAATTTTATCCACTTTGTTTCTTTACGAATCCTTTTTTTTGCCTTTTTTTCTTCAACGAAGTCAAGTGATAAAACTGAAAGATATTCCGACGATCAGAGTAACAACTTGAAATATTACGGTCTTCCAAAGTAAACAGCAATAACTACAAATATTACACTTTTCGCCGAACGTCAATTGGAAATATTGACAAATATTCCGATGATAAGAGTAGCAACACGAAATGTTACACTTTTACCGGGAGAACACGAAACTAAAGTTTATAAAAGTTTTAAAATAGACAGTAATAAATACACTTATTACACTTTTGATCGGTAATACAGATGATTGCCGCAGTGCATACCACGATAACTGCGTTTTATTACTGTTTTCATCGGAATATGCCGATAAACCTGTTCCGAAGAATGGTGATTCTTTCACCATCTGTGCAATGACTATTGAACTTAAATTATTACGGGTTTCTTCGGAGATAGAGCATGTGATGTACTATCCATACCTGTAGAAAAGTGAAGATAGAAAAAAATGTGATTTATTACACTTTTCTTCGGAACGTGCAATATCAGAAAACTAAAACAATAAGTGAGCAAAGAACCAACCAGATGTAAAATAGAAATTAATGACATCAGTATTGAACAAGTAATGGAAATAAGATACCTGGGAATTACACTGTTCAGCCATGGACCTGGACAAAAAAGTGAGAGATCAAGTACAAAAAGCAAATAGACTGACAGGATACCTTACTAACACTATGTGGCAAAACAGACAAATTAACACTGAGATTAAGTCAAGAATTTATGAAGCCAGTATAAGACCAATAAATGACATATGCCTCAAAAACGAGACGTGACACAGCCACAACGCAATGTACAACGAGATGAGAGTACTGAGAAGAATTATAGGAAATACGCTGAGAGATCGAAAGAGAAGTGAAGACATTAGAAGAAAATGTAACGTACTGTGTATAAGTGAATGTACACACAATAGAAAAAAAGAATGGAATAACCACATAAGCAGAATGGAGGAGTCCCGTGTCGTCAAAATAGCAAGAGATAAGTCGCCAATCGGCAGAAGAAGTATTAGATGACCTCTCAAAAGATGGAGTGACAGTCTTTCAAAGGGGTATTAATCCACCAATGAACAAACATAATTGCTTATAAAGATGAAGAGGAAGAATATCATAGTAAATGCGTATCTGATCTACTTCATGAAGTTTTAATTCTACCATTGTTAAAGATTTTTTATCGTTCCCCAGGTTTCGAGAGTTTTCTTTAACGCTTTATTTCATAGTGACCTCGAATATTGATAGTAATTTTTTGTTATAAGTAGGTGTAACTTGCTCATGCTCTACTACTACTATCTTTAAAACGTTTAATTTTTTTTTGTAGGATAAAACAACTTTTCACCCAATGTTGGTTTTATTTTGGAGTGATAATTATTCCTTTTTTTTTCTAGGTTTGCCTCCTCTAGAAGTGAAATCGACAAAGAAAAAGGTAAACGACAGAGTGGACAGTATTTATACTAACAGTGTGGCATACTCTAACAATACTAATACTGACAATTTGACTGATGAAGACGATAACGGCAACCGAACATCAGTCGCTGATTTGTGTAAAAGATTTGATGACAAACTCTCTAGAACAGTGAAAAACGGTACTAGCCTCGCCAATAAGACATCGGAGGTCAAGTCTAAAATTTCCGAATTAACCAATGGTGTAAAACCCCTAAGTGGCAAATCAAAAACCGCCAATGTCAAAAAATCTACTAGCAATGGCTCGGTGGCCAAAAAGAATGACGCGTCATCCATTAAATGTCAAAATAACATTGATGTTTTACAGTCTAATTCAAAATTGGAAGTAAATGAAGATTCGGATTTGAAAAATGGGACAGACGTCGAGAGGGAGGAGGTGAGTGAAGAAGCAACCGGTAACCATTCCCTCTCGAAGAACGGCTCAAGAGTAAATAATTTTTCATCTTACATTTCTATTTCGACCAAGGACTTTCAGAGGGGGGATGAAAATCAATCAGATCAGAAAAATGAAATGGATACTAAAGAATATATCGGAAAAATAATACAGACTACAGTGAGTATTCAACATTTTCAGTATTTTTTTATTATGTTTCTTTATTGTAAACGTGTAAATAGTTTTTTCGTAGTAAGTGCGTTGTTTCTAATTTTTGTAGATTTGTTTTTAAATTATGTTATCTTCTAAAATATGTACGAGTGTGAATATGTTGAGTCTCTTTAACGTTTTATTACATGTGCTTTAGTCTAATTCCTTCTGCCTTTAAACGTAAAGCTTATAAATTGAGTTGTACATTTCGGTCGTTATTGTTTCCCATCCTTTGTCATATTTTTAAGTTCTTTTCAAGGTATCTGCTTATTATTTCACTTAGTCAATCTGCAAATAGTAAATTAACCTTTTCGACCCCACTCTTTTCTCACGAAAAACTAATATTTATCATTTGGTCATGTAATGCGGTTGTACAGATGTGTTTGATCATATTAATTTTTTTTTATTTATGTTTTGAGTCCTTTTATCCTGCGATATATTGTCCCAATGGTTAGTGGGACGATATATCTCAATGGTATCGAAATACAATTTTTCAATGAGGTTTAACGTTTTATTACATGAGTTTTTGAATTTTCAACAAACATTTTCTTTGGAATTTAACCAATAATAATTTATAGTATAAGTAACAAAACATTTTTATAAAAATGGTAAGGAGTAAATCATTCTTTACATAAGTATATCTGACACATTAGACATAGCATTTGTGCTCGTATTTCTTTTTCTTGGCAGAACACACAGTACAACGACGACGAGATTTTTCTATCATTGATAAATGATCCCCCACATTTTTCGTTCTATTTGAAGGTCTTCCTACAGATCTTTTTTGAGCATGAACTTTGTAGAGCTTCTTCCTTCTTCTTCTTCTTCTTTTTTATAAGCAAAATGCTTGTTCAATTTCGATTAATGCCTCTATTGGAGGTTATCACTCCATCTTTTGCGTGGTCGCCCGATACTTCTTCTACCTTTTGGTGATTTGTCCCTCGCTATTCTGACTAATCGGGTCTCTTCCATTCTGTTTATGTGTTCGTTCCATTCCTTTTTTCTGTTCAGTGTCCACTCATTTATTTCTGGTATATTGCATTTTCTTCTGATCTCTTCACTCCTCATTCGATCCCTCAGTGTGTTTCCTGTAATTCTCCTCAGTAAACGCATCTCCGCTGTTTCTAGTAGTTGCTGAGTTCTGGAGGTATCCGGTCTTGTCTCTGAAGTGTATGTCATTATTGGTCTTATTGTTGCTTTGTAGATTCTTGATTTCACGTCGGTATTAATGTGGGGATTGCGCCATATTGTGTTATTAAGACAACCTGCTATTTTATTAGCCTTTTGTACTTGATTTTTCACTTCCTTCTCCACATCTCCGTAGCTAGACAGTGTAATTCCTAGGTAATTTGTCTCCATTACTTGCTCAATGCTGATACCGTCGATTTCCAGTTTACATCTAATTGGTTCTTTACTGATTACAATTGTTTTAGTTTTCTGTGTAGAGATCACCATATTAAAGTCCTTTGCCCTTGTGTTGAATCTATGGGTTAGTCTTTGTAGATCGTCTTCATTGGATGCAATTAGGGCCGCATCATCTGCATAGCAGAGTATTCTGATTTCTTTGTTCACCATTTTGTATCCTCTTCCTTTATTAATAGTATTGATGATTTCATCCATGATTAGATTGAATAGCGTTGGACTAAGCGAGTCTCCTTGTCTTATTCCATTGCCCATATCTATTGGATCTGTAAGCTGGTCATCTATTCTGACTTCCATATTGTTGTTCTGGTAAATGTTCTCTATTGTTTTTATAACATCTAGTGGAATTTCTCTATCGTAAAGAAGGTGAATTACATCTTTAAGCTTTACTTTATCGAACGCTTTCTTCAGGTCTATTAGACATATGAATGCTGGTCTGTTATACTCTAGTGCTTTCTCGGTAATCTGTTTTATGATGAATACTGCATCTGTGCACGATCTTCCTGTGCGAAAACTCTGCTGTTCATCCGCTAAGGTAATTCTCTGATTTATTTGGCCTTGCAATATTTTGGTTGTAAGCTTCAAAGTGGTGTTTAATAAGTTGATACCTCTGTAGTTTTCAGGTTGTTTTTTATCTTCTTTTTTGTATAGTAGGATAAGCTCGCTTTTCTTCCACTCTTCAGGTATTTTATTATGTTTGATGATTTTGTTAATTAGTGCTGTTAGCTGTTCTGTTAATGCTTCTCCACCATATTTCAATAATTCATTTGGAATTCCATCTTTACCTGCAGCTTTTCTGTTCTTCAGTTTTTCTAAAGTTTGTTTTACTTCTTGTACGGTTATCTTGACTTCCTCGTTTGTAATGATTTCTGGTGTTTCTGGTTCTAACATCATTTGCTGTTCATCATTATAAAGCTTCTTTAGGTATTCAATCCATGTGTCGTTATCTATCTGTTTCGGTTCGATTAAGTCTTTCATCTTTGATCTTTGGCCTCTTATGAAACGCCATATTTCCTTTTGTAGACCGTAAAAGTCTTGTTCCATTTCTTTTGAGAAGCGTTCCCAGTGTTCGTTTTTAATTTTTCTTACTAGTGCTATTGTTTCGTTTCTTATCTTTTTGTAATTGTTGTATTCTTGTGGTGTTTTGTTAGACATGTATCTTAAGTAAGCTTTCTTTTTTTCTTTGCATTTTTCTTTCACTTCTGCGCAGAACCACGGAGTTTTCCGCTTTTGAAAATATTTATTTTTAAGAATTTTCCTTCTTCCTTCAGTTACTAAATATTCACCTTCTGTCAGTAAAAAATCTTTGAATGGAATTTCCTTGCGATTCAGTTGGTTGTATCCAATCGAACTGTTGACAGCCACCACCATTGTGAGTCTAAAAAATAAAGACTTTTTTCCACCATTTGAGCGATTTTCTATCTAAATCATACAATCCAGACATTCGGTTACGTAAGTCAACTCCACCTATACAGCAGTTGTAAAAAGCTATAGCATCTGGGCAAGAGATGACTGCTTTTGTACCATATGTCCTTTACGTTTTACAGTGGTTAAGGTATCTGTGTGGGCAATTACTTAATAACAATACTTCCTTAGAAATAAATTCATCAGTATAGTAGGTTTTTGAAGCATTTTCTGACTTTTTCAGGTGATTCATGTACAATTTACCTTCTTCTTTAAGTTCCATCTTCTATCGAAGGTTGGAAATCATCATTCCCTTAAGTTCTTAAGCCAGGATATTCTTCGTCTTCCCACAGTTCGCTTTCCTCGGATTTTGCCCTGCATAATAAGTTGTAATAATGCGTATTTTTGCCCTCTCATCACATGTCCCAAGTACTCAAGTTTTCGTCTTTTAATAGTTAATATTATTTCCGCCTCATTTCCTATCCTAGTTACTTCCATGTTTGACATTCTTTTAATCCATGATATTCGTAGGATTCTTCTGTAACACCAAAATTCCAAGGCGACCAACTTATTCAGATGAACTTGTTTTAGTGTCCAAGCTTCCAAACCATAAAGAAGAGTAGAGAACACGTAACATCGAAGCATTCTCAGGCGTAGTTCTAACCTTATATCCCGACAACAAAGAAACTTTTTAAGTTTAATAAATGATGAACGTGCTATTTCAATACGTGTCTTAATTTCTTTGGTTTGGTCTACATCTGATGTTATCCATGTTCCTAAGTATTTATAGTTATTAACACTCTCAATTGCAGTATCTTCAATAGTCAATTGGATATTTGCATGTGCAGATTTGGTCATGATCATGCATTTAGTTTTCTTTAAATTTATATTCAGTCCGTACTCATGACAGCGTTCATTAAGGCGTTGCATTACGTTCTGTAAATCATTGTTGTTATCCGTAATTATTACTGTATCGTCTGCAAAACGTAAGTTATTCAAAACTTCTCCATTGATAGATATACCTTCTATTGAGTCTGAGAGCGCTTCTTGAAATACCGCTTCACTGTAGACATTGAAAAGTAGTGGGGACAGCACGCAACCCTGGCGGACTCCTCTCTGTATTTTGATATTGTCGGTGTACTGGCTGTCAACTCTTACCTTAGCAGTTTGATTCCAATATAAATTAGATATAATTTTCAGATCACGACTGTCAATATTTTTGCTTTTTAATATATCTACAAGCTTTTTATGTTGAACTTTATCAAATGCTTTTTCAAAGTCTACAAAACATAAGTACATATCCTGATTCATGTCCATGCATCTCTGAGCCAGCACATTCAAGCCGAACAAAGCATCTCTTGTACTTATATCCTTTCTAAAGCCAAATTGTGTGTCACTAATCTCATATTCAAGAGTTTTAACAATTCTGCTGTGAATTATTTTCAAAAATGTTTACAATTGCACAATTACAATTACAATTTACCTAGAAGCACCAAACATCTATTCCTTGATATGCTTTGTTTTATAAATTGGTTACCTATAAAAGGCCTTGAAGACCAGTAATCAGAAAGGCGAGGAACACGGTTGATACACATAATAAATGTCATTCCGATTACGATCATAAAATCTCCAACATCTATGTATTGTGTTCCTCCTCGTGTTGTCTTCTCTCTTCTGTAGAGATCACTTATCTCGTTGGTACAATCCACAATAAAGTGCATCAAACTTGACGGAAATATATTCTTGAAAACTTGTAACGGACTAAAAGCATAAACAATTTCTCTGTGAATTACAGGAACATTCTTAGGAGGAATTGTTGGAAATCTGGGTTCAAAATAGTTTGGAAAATTATACCAATATATTTTTTCATCCCTTTCCCCTCTTTTGTGGTAGTTTGTTCTATATTTTCACCTTTATTGTCTGGCTTTTCACTATGTCTTATCATTTCTTCATTGTTTTCCTTACCTTCACGTTCTAAAATTATTCAGAATCACTGCCAAAAGGATATCGATCAATAGAAACTTCACTATCTGTACGGTTTGGATCTTCAGATTTATTAATGGATCAAATGGATCTTCAACATCATCTAATTTTGAACTAGAATAAAAATTTTTGGCGAACAACTATATCTTTTCTATATCTGC